CTGTAGTCAGTGATGGCAGATGAAAGAACAGGTGCAAATCTGGTGAACCTGGTTACAATGACAGAAGTCACAGGGTTGGACTTTTTAAAGTTTTTGTAGAGGTGGGGATTGTATGTAGGGGTTAAGCGAGAATAGCCTATAGGGGGACATACGTGAAAGTGGATTAGGGTTTAATCCCTATACTATGACACCGCTGTACAGTTAGCTTTATATTCAGTTTTCTGGCTGTAATATCTTTCAAAAAAAAGCAATCAACACCCCTTGGTTTTCCAGAGTTCTTTATGGGTGAATTTTAATTAATATCTCAATGTTTGTGTCTGCACTTCACGTTCAGTAGCACAGCTGTCTTGCTTAAAATCACTGACATGATGGACAGAGTGCAATTATTAATAAATACGTATAAAAACCAAGTTACTTGGTGTGTATTGTAAGGTGTTTACCTGACCTCTTAGGGCCTGTGTTCTGACAAAACAACCTACCTATCGAGGCTTGCTATCAAGCCTTTCTGTGCATGTGCAGTTCCACCGTCTTGGGATTAGGGGTTAGGGTTAGGGTTTTAGGGGTTTTTGGGGGGTTAGGGTTAGAGTAAAAGTTAGGGTTAGGGCTAGCGATTAGCACTACGGTAGGATGTTTTGATAAAGTAGGACGTTTTGTCAGAACACCGGGTTCTGTACAAATGTGACATTGCACGGGCTGTTAATGAAAAGTATGCTTTAATCATTCTTTTCAGTATTAACTGGACCTGTCTGTATCGTTCAGGTTTATACTTATTAGTCCATTAATTCTATCTTTTGTACTTTAAACGAACACAGTACAGATATTATTGGTAACGGAAACGGAGCGATTTGTACACCTGAAATACTTAATGCGGATCGCGTTACATTTCTGACATTTGCTCCTTTTTATTTGAGGATTTCTGTCCAATTCTTACCGCAGCTGATCTGTAGAAGAAAATATATCCATAAATATGAAGTGCAGCCCAGGAATATATCATTATCGGGAAATGAGATGACTTATAAGATTTTGGTCATATACTGTAAGTGGTTGGCACAGCCCTATATTGCAGTATTTTCTTTCAGCGGAATTTATCATTGGGGGACCTTAGTGGTGCTTTTGAAAATACAGCATACTACAGTACATAGCGTAAGGACAGTATGATATAAAAGCAGAAACCGCCCAAGCCTAATGTAGATAGGGGGCTAGAGACAGAGGATGGGGGGTGAGGGAGGAGTAGGAATTAGAGGGAGGGGGGGGGGGTTGTGACGGGGAAGCACTATTGTCATGCGGACAGCATCCTGTTTATTTGTTATTTATTAGTTATGCTCTTATGGGTTTTACTTTTGTGCTTGCATTTTCCCAGAATTTGTCATTTACTGGAAGTATTTGAATTAACTAACTGAATTAATTAATGAGTCAAAGATCCAAATCTTTCCACTGAAATAAACCAAACAATTGGTCAAGCATCATGTAACCTGATCCTGTCCCTCCTCTGGCCAATTAAATTTGCAGGTTCAGCTGCTTAATTAGCAGAGGGATCACATTCCCGGTTCCTGGGAAGTTGATCTGAGGAGAACAAAGCCTCTTGTGTGCGATTCTTCCCAGTGCTGAGTGTGCAGAAACCAGTTCAGGTTACAAAGCCGATGCAGAGAGACAGCCAAAGCAACAGCATTCAACCTGCTCTGATTTCCACTATTTTTATTTTTTATGTTGGCTAAAAATGTAAATTATGGATGGATTGTTGACGGAAAGAAACCATTTTTATTCTGGGTTCATCTCACAATAAAACTGAGGTAGAAAACCAGTGGTGATGTTTATTATATTGAACGAAATAATGGCAAAAGTTGGATATAAGTATGATGAACCTTAATAACATGGTACAGTGCAGCACAAACACACAGCATTACGGAGGATACCCTGTTATGGTGAATACAGGGAAAATAAGAGCAATTCATGGTGAATTTTGCCCTTCGAAAAAACCAAGCACTGCGTCAAACACCCTGCTGCAGTTTTGACTAGAAATGTCCAATTAATCACTATAATAATAACAACAACAACAACAATAATAATAAGTGCACAAGTCAATCTTCAACTGATAGCATTAGAATTCCACAAAACATTTAAAATGTAGCTCTCTGGTGTTTTTTTTAATCACAAAGAAGTCCAATACAGGTGAAAGACACATATATGATATAGAGGAGGATAAGTGGGTAGAGGGCGGGTGTATAGTGACTGTATACTACATAAGTGGTTGGGGGAAAAAATCAGAATTGTTAACTGGCTGGTAACTCCAATACTACAATATTTCTTACAACTCCTGTTTTTCAATTGCAGCATATTCTTCATCAGAATGTCTTCAAAATGGAAAAAAAAATACTGCCAGGCTCACCTTTCCATCCATACTTGCTGAAATACAATGTTATTATGATAGTGTTCTGAGGTCTAATGATTTACAACGAGAGACAGACAGATGCCAAACCGCAATCCAAGTCAAAAAATACAAGCGCAGTTCAAAAACAACACAAAATGCGACAAAACTGAATCCCTACTACGTTCATCAACTGCCAAATCAGAAACCGCCAAATTACAGTAGATACCGCTAAATTAGCTCTTATATACATACATACAAACATTATATATAGACCACCTTTCTCTTCTACGCATGTTGTTGTCGGACTGTATACTTTGCATCTGACAAATAAAAACCTCTGAATCCTTGAAATATATAACCAGCAAGTGTGTCTAATATTCAGGCATGGCTGGGTGTTTTCTTTCTTAGTCTGGTCTGTCTGGGCGTTGCTGCCGCCTGTTACATCTGTGCTTTGATGTGAGATGAAGTGTGACGTATATTTGCTAAATTTACATCTGTCGATCCATCCATCCATTTTCTGAAACCACTTATTCTATTCAGGGTCACTGGGTTCTGGAGCCTATCCAGGAAGCTATGGGCACAAGGCAAGGAAGAACCCAGGATGGGGAACCAACCCGTCGTAGGCCAAATTTACAGCACATGCTCTCATTATATTTTTTGCACTCTCAGAACTCCCGGAAGTTAATCAAGGGTTTCACAGCAGTAATCCTTCCTGGCAAGGAACCCTGACATATTCGAAAAAAAAGCTATCCTAAATTAATCACTATACAATTTCCTGCAAAGCACGGTGCATTATAATATTCATTCCTCTCAATTTATCTCAAAACAAACTACACAGCAAAGTGAAGTGTCTCCAATGATATGTGACAACCAAATTATCTTGGCAAAACGCCTGAGCTGCAAGAATGTGAATATGTAAGTCCTATGCTTGCCATTTGGCTAACATTTGGAGGGTGTTAACTGAGAAGTTAGGATTTCAAAAGCTGTCCTTGTGTGTTGTATGACCATCATAACTGCAAGTGATTTTCAAATTAAAAAAAAAAAAAAGTTCAGGAACGTAATGTGATGCAGCAGAGAACAAACTGAAATCTTTGTCACCAACAAATGGATTTAACAACACATTTGTGAGTTTTTAACACCATGCAGGAAGACATCCTAAAGAGAAAAGGCAGTAGTATAGACAGTGTAGTATAAAAGGTGCTTAGAGATGGATCTAATCCAGGCAAGACACCATGTGTCTTTTTCTGCAGCAATGACATAAAAACAGATGAGTGTTTGTGTTACATGACATTGTAAAATTATCACTTCCTTGACTAAAACATAGAGTCAGAGTGAAGGCATTAGATTATCAGAAGGACGAGAGGCACAGTGACCTGGATAACACCTTGTAGCATGTGGCTATGGTCCAAGAGAAGAGTTTTTATACCATCTGGGCAGTTTACCAGCACCTTATACACACTGCAATGCAAGGATAAACCAAGCACTTTTGTGCTTTTTAAAAGCATGTTTCTCAGATGAGTAACAACAGATTGCATCCTTTAGCTATTCATCTGTAATAGCCTCTTATCCCAGCAGGATGAAGGTTATCAGGAGCATGCACCAGGAAGGATAGAGGCATCTTCTGCTCTGGACAGGAAGTTGTTCAAGCGAGCACTAGAGGCAATTTATAATCTTTAGTTCACCTGGACAGCATACCCGGGGATTGCTGGAGGAAACTGAACCCAAAGAAAAACCCCATCTACAGACTTTGCATGAAGCAGCCCGAATCTAATCTCTTTATTTGCTTGTTTACTTTGTCTCTGAAACAGCACACTTTAATTCAGGGCTTTCATGGAACGGCGACGAGTCACAACTCATAACCATGATTTTAAACTTAAGCCCTTACAAAATTAAACCCCCTTACTATTACACTTCAGGTGAGTTATCCTATAAAGACCACAAAATAGCTGGCACCAATGAAATAGAAAGCATTCACAAATGATCACTACACTGTGCCAATAACTCTTTTATCAATGGATAGTACTACAGTGATATCGTACACTTCACTGCGTCAAACCATAAACCCAAAGTGATTACGCTGCACTGATGAATTAATGCCAGTATTGAGAATTAGCTGGGTCAATATTGATGGAATTACAAAAGGCGTGTAAACGTATTATACAGTGCAATAAAACAGACCCTAGGTATGAAAACTCCCAGTAAACATCAATAAACGCTATTTGAATGACCTTTTTTAATATACACTTTGAAATAATAGTGTTAAATGCACTTTAAGGGTAATTCATGAAGAATAGCGGCAGCGTCTGTACAGTCCATCAGCAACTCATAACAACGTAACATCGTATCAGTTTTTTTTTTTTTACGAAGATAACGGTATAATTGCACTGCAAAGGATAATACTATTTCTCTGGTAAAATAACAGAACAATGTTGCTGATTTTAGTCCCACTCTTCACACCTAGCAATGTTGTAATTAGAAATTTTACGCTTGACTTCTGCATACGTTTGCATTGTATTTCGTGAAGCGACCGATAGACGCAAACCGCAGGTGCCAAATACCGCCCGTTGTCATATAAAACTGCTATGCAAGGAAAACGTGAAATTCCAAACTTGTATTTGAGACTTTTACTTACATTGAATAGTTGAATAATTTTCCATTAGTATCAGTTCACTTGAAAACAGAAAGAATACAGAAAAAAACAGAATCCACTTGTAAATCCAAAGTGTGAAGGCGCTGGAGTGCAGGTGTGAATTTAAGTACCCTCAAGGCATGGCACCTTTAGCAGTCCATTTACAGCAGGAATAAAACTAGCCAGCAAAATCCCAAATCAAGGCGGGCGCATCATCACCCAAAACGCTCTTGATAATCAAAATCCCTTATGTATCACGGCGATTGAACTGTTCATTAAGATACAATTATAATAAAGATCAAGCGAAATCTCCATTCAATTATTATTAAAACGTCCAGCAAATGAAGAGAATATACATGTAATACTAATACGAGGAATAATAAAACAAACGCGACAGCCCTTTACATCCAGGGTATCTCAGTGAAACTGCATTTTCACCCTATAAGCGGGAAGAGGCCAGTGTCGCCGGACGGTGAGCAGGATTTCGAGGATCTGGGGTCTGGGTATTCCCCGACAGCTCGCTGAGACCGGGATCCCGCCTCCTACCGATGCGTCTCTCCTCTTTGCAACGGAATGGTACGGAGGCGGAGGAAGAGATAAGATAAAAAAAGAGGAGGGGTCTGTGTATTTAACCGACTATACTGTACGTGAAGGTTGACGGGAGCCTATGCCACATTTATTAATATTAATCCAATATATCGATTAATTGCATTTTTGATGCAATTATACAGATTATCATTTTATATCACTTTAGTTTTCTAATGGGGTAGTACGTGCAGAACTCAATACACTGAATTGGTTGAATTAACAGGCAAAATAGTCCCTGTATGCGATGCGTTCCAGTGTATCATATCAAAACCACTCTGGATAGGAACATATGGCAAAAGGCATAAACATGGCAGAAAAATAGACCCTTTGCTTACATGCACTGCATATTAATTTGATTATGTAGTCCTTCTTGATTTAAAAACAATTCAATGATAACATGGTTATATATTACAGATCGTTTAAACCAGCTGATTATATTATTATTATTATTATTAAGTTTATTAACATTATTATTATTAACATCATTATTAAAATTTCCTCTTGGTCAGTCCATGAAATGTAAATACAGAGGTACCGCAGTACTAGAACTCATTAGAACTCGAATTTCTTAAAAATTGAACCAAACAGTTTGAATTTTTTTTACCTAGAACTTGATCTGAATCTCAGAAGTCGAACCGTGAACGCAGACCCAAGATAACTTGTATGCGTGGGGAAATGAGTCACGTGGCACGTCTCTCAGCGGAAAAAAAGAGTAACGCTTCAGTTTCAGCCTCGCATTCGCTGTGATAGCATCGTTTCTTGGAGATAGTGCTTTTTTATTGAAAATATCAGGTAATACATTGTACTTTATATCATTTTAGTAGCCATTGCTCACCAAAAAGTTACGCAATAGTTGTACAAATGTTACAACCTAAAAGTTTGAGATTTATGAACAAATTAACGAATACAGAGTAATAATAAAAATAAACAATGGACTGCATGGCATAGTCTAGTGTTGGCTCAGTGTTGGGGCATTGCTTGGGGTAGTGTTGGGGTAGATCTTTATCATTTTGAAAGCCATTAAGAACAAAATGTTACGCACGACGTACAGTACAGTGTTGCCGCACAGTGTTTTTAACTTTACACATTGTTTGGATACATTTATTTTCTTACTTTACAAATCACTGTTTTGATAAATGTGCTTAGATGTGTTTAGTATATGCTCTTCTTGTTTCATCCTGTTCATTTTGTATTTAAATGCTGAAAAAAAACAAGAAGGAAGATGGTTGTTTCAAGACCACCTTGGTGCCCCATAGCAAAGGCTCAGCACTCAGATTAATGGTGAGAACAACGCCACATACAGCGCAGTTCATTTTCATCTCAGCTTGATTTGCCTTGCTATCAAACACAGTCACAGAGTATCATTAATGCCTGAAAACTACCAATGCCAGGTTGCCAATCACAATTTTGCATTAAGTGCCTTGTATCTGAAACAATGTGATATATTTTCCCGAGTTTGGTGACCAATAGCTGAGCTTTTGACTTGTTGGTGATGGTGTTTAAGACCTGCATGTAGATAAGTGCTAGAACGACATGTCTGCATTGCTGAGCTGAGGTCAGACTCGGCTCTTGCACGATACTTTCATCATTCATTCTGCAGACAGAAAGTTGGGTATGCAGCAACAGTTCACAGGAGACCTTTGAATCCACCTAGGTGGATTGCTCCGTATCTGAATTATGAGCCTAGTTTTAGGAGTCACTTAAATTCATACTATTTATTTCAATCATTAAAATATTATAAATTGGGAAAGAATCCACTTAGTTTTGTTAAGTATTTCATTTAGGATTGTTTTAATGATATGGTTAAAGAATGAGTCAAACATCAAGCACACAGATGACAAGTATAGACCATTTCACAGTGCCTGGCTTCCTGGTAGCTGGTCACTCTGCTGCCAGTACTAGTACTTGATAACCAGCAACCTTCCATAAAAATTTACTGCTGTAACTAACAGTCATCCATCTGATCACGGCAAAATAGGTGGGTGATGATAGATAGATAGATGGATAGATAGATAGATGATAGATAGATGATAGATAGATAGATAGATAGATAGATAGATAGATGATAGATAGATAGATAGATAGATAGATAGATAGATAGATAGATAGATAGATAGACCACGTGTTTTCAATAATAATAATGATAATAATAATATTGTGTTTCAGAAGGCACTGGACAAAAAAATTTAATTAAGACCAAAGGCAGGTAAATACGCTATTCCTTTCTTTCAGGACTACACATATTCCATGGTAGGATGGTCTACATTTGTTGTTCTTTCCAAATTAAGTTTAACGTGACCATTATCTTTACAGATTGGGTTTTTTCAGCCTTGCATGGATTGCAAAGTTATGGTGGATATTTCAGGCGCGGTAGGCCGCACAGCATCTGCACATGATGTCCTAATAGGACTCAATTTTAATATCAGTATTTGGTCTTTACAAGGTCTGGTTTCTGTACAGTGACTGCAAACTGACAGGCAGAAGTGTTGTGAATAGAGCTTTATAATGCAGACCGTGAGGTTGGCCTGAGCAGCCTAAACCTAATGGAGTAAGAGCAAATTGAATGAAGATGCCATATCATCATATCTTGTTAAATTTTCTCTTTTGTGAATGTGAGTGATCAGTTTGTTTTATCTTGCAACACAAACGCTTTGAAATGAAACATCACATGAGGCATAACAGTATAAATATATATACAAAGATGTAGATAACCAGAATTTTCTGAGTGATATACGAATAAATAGCCTTCCAGACATATTTAGAAGATGTACAGGATAGGGTTATATAAGATACGACTACACATTAACTTCAGACAGCTCTAAGGAAGGCGAGACAGTTAAACTGAAGTGATTGAAGACAACATTCGTGAACATGTTAAGTAGCATTGTATTATTTCTAACAGAAACTATGTTATTAATACAGAAAGAAACACCGAATTTCTCTTAAATTAGGACCTGCCTCTTTGGGGCTGGATTGCTGTCTGGGGTGCCCTCTCTTTTATCCCCTGTGCTTCTAGACTCTGAATTACCAGCTGCATAACTAGATAAAAGTACAGGAATATATAATTAAAAATGAGAAGCTATAACATATGTCATCAGTTTTCTAAATTCTTTAAGGCACAAGTGACTGACACTGTCAACATGACATAATCTGGGACCAATCTTGTGGTAAATATGTAGTGTACATTGTCCTTGTCACAAGTAGCAGACACCGAGCGGGGAAACAGGAACAAGAATCCAGGGAGTCAGGTGAACACGGGATTTATTCGGGGTAAAACACACTCGAGAGAATGGAACAGGCAGAAGCGATGTTATGACGTTAATGATCTGACTGGGGAATCACTCACAGAAACTCACTTAAGTACAGGTGATCCTGTACTAAGTATATAGTATATATACTGTGTGAGATACATGTGTATCAGATCAGATCACAGATATATGCTTGGCCTTTTTTGTACTGTTCCAAAAGAATAATATTTTTTAACAGTTTACAGTATAATTACATTTATCTTGAGAAGCTTGCTGAGATAACTACAGAATTACATGTAAGGCATTACCGTCTCCATGATTTAATTGCACTGTTGTGTCCAAGCTCTCCGAAGGTGTTTCGCAAATTTCATGCTGTTTCATTAAAAAATTACTTAATCACAGCAACAGTAACCTTTAAATCAAGCGAGACACAATAGTAAAAAGTTGAGTGTAAAAGTGGTAAGATATACATAAAATGTAATTAATATTATTCTTTTACCCTATAGACTCACAACATTTTGCTGGCAATGGCAGCTTTGACAAGTTATTGTAGGTCATGCTACTAAATATATAAGTGCAACATTATAAAATGATACAGAACTAGAAATGACAGAAAAACAATCAGAAACATTGGGGGTAAAGGATTCCTTAATATCTAAATCGTTTTATTTTTCCGCAGTAATGAAGTGGCAGCCATACTGCTTTGCCAGTTTCTCTGTCTACACCCACACACTTTCCACTTCACCCTCCGTCCTGCGGTACTCCCTGATTAATGAAGGATAGTAGTAACAAAGTGATTCATACTCTAAAACACCTCAATCCAATTAACAGTGCTTTCTATTCAAGATCTACAAATTTAATCATTATTCTCTGCATTAGCTATTAGCTCTGCACTAGTAAAGAATAGAATGTACAACTCAATGACTGGTGATGCATTGACAGTTATAATCTGTCGGCATATGTTATACGTGTGAAATAATTGACTAACTAGCTGTAGACTGTTAAGAATGGCCATGAAAAGTCACAGTAGCAGCCTAGTCTAAATATAAAACTATGACTCATTACATCCAATACACTGGGAGTTACTGAATAATTTTCCATTGTGGAGTTTAAGAGGTAATTATTTTTATGAACAGGTTTTTTCCATGAAAACAATCCAGTGCAATTTGAATAATGCAGAATTCCTTGTAGGAACAGATTTTTAAAAGAATCACTATACAAAAACGCAAACACATTGGACTAAATTACATCTGGCATATATGCCCATCTCATCCCTCCCAGACAGTCCACGTTTTTGCTACCAGAAGCTGGGAGGGAGCAAAAACATGGACTGTCTGCGGGTCCCAGAGGACCAGATTGGGAAACACTGATCTAAATCACATAATTAGAGAGGTAAATGCATGCAAACAAAGGTTGAGCTGGGGGCCAGACTGAAGTTGTCTTGTTAAAAGATTGGTCAAGGTATTAAGCAATTCTATATACTCCTGTACAGGTAAACACCACAGGTAAACAAAAGTAGACTAATGTACAAAATGACAGTTGATCACATGTGAAAACATTAGCACAATAGTTGTGAAGATGCACAGTATTTCATATACTCCGAGCAGGGGTATGGGTGCACTCAGCATTCACGCTGACCTTTGTCACGTTTCAAGACATCTCTTAAGGAGATTT